AACTTTCTTCAGGAAGTTCTTTATTAGGCTGCATGATAGAAATAATAGGTAGTCTGTTATGCTGGACAAAGCCAGGTAAGTAATCGCCATAATCAAATGGATGAGATTCATGAGTGGCTTGTCTTTAAAAGAGATGGTTCATGTCTGACATGAACAGGTCCTTATCATCAAAACAAAATCTGAGAGAACAGAAGTGTGATTACTAAAGGTGAAGAGCAACAAACTATATGAGCACAATCTGGCCTGAAAATGAAGTGAAATGTATTTTATATTATTCAAAGGCTGCTTTTGTTTTTAAGCCACTCTGGAGGACAGGATCTTATTATCATGTTCTGTCTGCAAGCTAATAATTCTTTAACATAATTCAGTAAAATGGTGTCTACTATTCGGTACCAACTAGTTCATCCTCCCCTAGTGTTATTTCATGCCCCATAAGGCTCCCCCTCTCCATTCTTCCCCACTGGGGACCCCTTGTTTTTTTTTTTTTTCCAATGAGGATTTTTGAAAATGAAGACTTACTCTTTCAAAGATCTCAAATAAAAGAACATATAGCTATCAACCCATTATCCTAATCTGGGATTAAAACCAAGACTTCGGAAGTAAATATTCATGATGACTTTAAAATGCTAAGTAGTACAACGATTACAAATGAGTTTTACTTGTCTGTTCTTTTGTGCCTGGACATGCACTGTGATGAGGCATTAAACAAAACTTCCTATAAAAAGTGGGACACTTGCCCACAGATCAAATCCCAGTAAGACAAATTCCAAAGAACAATACAAATGCTATTTGTAAATCAAATACCACTCCTATTCAGGGAGCTTCAGCCTTAGTGTTTGAAATACTTAGAAATAGTAAGTAATACTTACTGTAATAGGATTTGATCTGCACTATTATACTACAATAAGGAGCTCTGGTTATGTAGTTGTTATGGCATTTGGCTGCTAACCAAAAGGTCGGTGTTTCAAACCTACCAGCTAGTCCACAGAAGAAAGATGAGGCATTCTGCTTCTCTACAGATTTACAGCTTTGGAAACTCAATGGGTGTTGCTATGAATCAGAATCAACTAGATGGTAGTGAGTTTTGTTTTTGGTTTAATATACTATGATAGCTAGAAAAAAAGGTGGTCCATAATTAGGATGCTTGTATAATACTTAAATGACTAGTACTGAAGATATTGGTCAATTCCATTAAAAACAATCAAGGTACAGATTTGTTCATTTGGTTGGTTTAGCAACTTGAGAGTTCCAACAATGGAGACAAGTTTATCAGCAACTATTAGGAAACAGAAAACCATATTAGGAAAATAAGAAAATAAAGTTAAGTTAAAAATATTTTTCATATGTCATAAGTCAGAACAGAGGCATGTGGAATTAAAACATAAAATGACATAGACCACCAGGAATTGTGCTATAGTCTTGCAATGAAGAGATTAATAATAGCACTGCTAGTGACAGAAAAAGCAATAGGATAGGAATTGGGCTCAGGAGTGTAATGGAAAAATTAATTGAGAAGTAGCTGAGAATAAGGGCACTATAGTTAAATACACATATATCTTTGGCTACTCTCTTCTATCCTTTGCCTTTCTCCTGGATTCTGATAACTGACCCTTTTCTGAGTCCTATCGATTCTGACTCTACAGCATACATTTTTTAATACTTTGTGGTCATTGCAAAGACACTGAAAGTTGAAATTCTTAGCACTCACATGACATACTTGAAGGTTAATCTAAAATAGTTTGTATAAAATAAAATGCTCTTGCCAAAAATCTTCAGGGCTGATTTGCTCATATATTACATATATATATGTCTTTATAGTAACTACCCATGTCTGGAATATAGAACTTGGATTTCACAGGGGGCCATTACTGTGAGCTGAGGTGATTTCAGAGAAAGGAAAGTATGAGAGAACAGAAAATATGCAAATAGAATAAAGAGGGAAGACATTAAAGCTGCAAAGAATTCCAAGAACAAACTATACAAAATAGATTCAGGGAAATGAATAGCCTTGTTTATCTGGAACTGAGACTGTGTGAAGTAGGGGAATAGAAGGTAAGTTTAAATGGGTAGGCTGGGGCCAGAAAGTGAA